AGCTGGGACAGTACAGTCCGTTCTTCATCTGAGACGCATAAGGTGAAACCAGAACTCTGCTTCTGCTGCCCTTCATCATCTGTCCTCTCTGTGAATTCAGGGGTTGGAGTAGTTTTACTGTTATCTACAGTTTGACTCCTGGCTATAAATCATCCGCTACGCCCGGGGAAGCTGCGTCCTTCTTTTTGACCTGCAACCTTCACACATCCTCACCCAGCCAGGTCTTACGTTACCACACCAGGACAGAGTAATGACGAGGTCACAGTCCATCAAACATGTCGCCATCCTGCAGGAGGGCTAATCCATAAACCCTGTCTGTCTGAGTGGAGGTGAAACTTACAGAGCCTTGCAAAAATACTAATCATTTTCTCACAGGACACTTTACTTCAGGTAAGTTGTACAGAAAGAAAATGCCAATTTGAAAACCACCTTTTGCTGCAGAAACAGCTGCAGGTTTTGGAGGTTTGTTTCTACTGGCTTTGCACATAGAAGCCATGTTTCTGTCCAATCAGCATGAGCAAACTTTAAAGTGAAGCAAAAACGAAAATGTGAAATAGACGTGTTCCCATCTATGATTTTGGAGCAAATCAACCAGGCGACATGAAAGGTGAGATTCTGACTTTAAGTAAACTGTCTTTCTGTAATAAACTGAAAGAGATGCTAACTAGCATGAACGGCACATCTCAGAGATATTCCTCTCCTTCGAGCTTCAGGTTAGGATAGAAATGTTTCCAAGCTCCGTGTCTCATAACGGCAGATCCACCAGTGGATGGGAGTTTAGTACTTCAGATCTGCAAATGTGTTTCCATTTCCACTTTGCCACATTGAGTTTTTTTCAGAAAAATCCTAGAACATCTCAAGCGAGCGTAGAAACCGAATTACCGGTTTCAAATTTACCGTTTCCATGAACTGTTTCATATGTGATGACTGGAAAATGTTAGCTGTGCAGTCCATGAAGCACTAACCACAAACGTTAGTTCTGCTAATGCTAATGCTTTACCAACTCAGCAGTTAGTAAAGCTAATGCTAAACCGCTGAACAATGACAGAACAGCGCATCACCCTAAAGAGGACGTGCGCCCACCACTGGAAAGGACAAAGTGTGTCTGGAAACAGTAGTTTTTTAAGTCTTGCCACAGGACTTTGACTAGGCCATTCCAACACAAGGACAGCTTTAAATGGAACTCTGGCTGTGAGTTCAGGGTGTTCTGCAGCTTCTAACAGGTTTCTGTCCAGGATTGTCCAGATTTAGCTCCATCCATTTTCCCATAAACTCTGAGCAGCATTACATCGCTGTGTGTTGGTCTGACGCATCAAACACTAAGAAAAAAGTTTATTTTGAGCTTTGTTTTAGGAATATCACAAAACGTAAACACAATGTTCTTTCCTCCGGCTTTTTCAGTGCCATCCATTGCTGTCAGACCTGAAGTGGACAGCAGCACAGACATAAACTAAATGACTCATTATTTCCTTTTTCCAGTGCAGGTGTCAAAGCTGGGTTGATGAGTGAGGAAGAGGAAGAGCATCCCCTGAGGCGATTTGGCATGGCAGCACGGGTCACTCCTCCAGGAAGCCATTTTTCTGCGGCGAGCTGCTGGAGCAGACTGCATGCTCATAAAACTGTTTTAGTCGTTAAAATCTGACCTGCTGGTTGGCCCGGTCACTAGTTAACTGTAAAATCCGATTAAAGTGAAACCACTGAACGCACATAGGAGAGCAGCTTCATCTTGCTTCTGCGAGCCAATCAAACACCAGAGAAAGCCAAACATCATCAATCATCTCAGAGATCAATGTTCCTCTGTGACAAAGCAGCCAGAATCATTTCCTGCTAAATTATCAACCAGATTCATTCAATTCTGCTTAGAGGCACAAAATGGAAAAACATCAGCAATGGATCTTCCTTCTCTCTGCATAAAATGTTACATTATCTATGACTGATGTCTTTGCCTGTAAATTATGTACACCTCTGGTCTACATGCCTGCAGGGTGTTTGTGTAAGCTCATGGTTTGATTTATTGCCGTCATGCATTCGTCTTCCAGCTTCTTCACCAGTCATGTGAGCTTTATCTCCACTCTGACAACATTAGCAAGTTAGATCAGTCTGTGCATCCCAGACTGTTTTCCTCCTAAATAAATATATAAATAAAGTCGGCTGCGCCCGGCCTCCCCCCTCTCTCCCTCAGCGCAGCCCGTGGAGACATACGGCTGCTAATTGCAAGCCTGAACGCGTGGCGTTAAAAACGGATAACGCTGGATGACAGATAGCCTGAGAAGAAAAATAATGTCAGCTGAGGCTGGCTAAGCACGCTGTCTGTCCGCACGCTTCATGAGGAACCTCCAATTACTCACACCAAGACGAATAAAATATGACTTTATGAGAAGATTTTCTCATAAAAACAAGACTATGGCTTTGTGAAATTATCCACTTTTTACAGCTTTATGGACACAGAAACAGAGCGGGCAGGGCAGGGTTATCTTTCTGCTGCTCTGCTGTTTGTGCAGGAATGGAATATAATCAGTTCCTTCATCTGTGGAACCAACTGTAAAGATTGAGATCCCACTTTAACTGCTGGAAATGTTTCCAAACAGATAAAATGATCTTTCATGTAAACAAATGTGTCAGCCTCCATTCATCCAGCTGACTGGCAGTGTGCAGCTAAGACAGGAAGGGTCTGAAGGAAAGTCCATTCCCTGCTCAAGTTTCTCTGGCATCTTCGAGCCTTTCTGTAGTTTTAAAACAGTAACTTTAAAAAAATGAAAATTAAACAACTTCATCCCAGAAACCAAACAATGACTGCTATAAAACGAAGCCAGATAAAATAAATATGGAAAAAGGAAGCAGCATCCGTCAGCTGAACAGGAAGTGTTTTGATCCGCAGCAGCAGGTGGAGATATAAAGGACACAGAATGACATGAGGGAGTTAATTCACTGTTTGTTCCCTGATCAACATCAATACTCAACACAGCAGAAAACTGAGCTGAACCATTAAAAGCTTCTCTTTAAAAGATGAGTGAAGACGAGAAGCTGGTATGAAAAAAAAATGATTGTGACCTACATGGCTGGTGAATAAAGAGCCTGAGGCAGTGACAAGCATTCAGCCGTCAAATATCAAAAGGCCAGCTATGAGTAATGCGAAGCCCCGCGTGAGAGCCAGCCGAGCCCCGTGTCCCAGCTGAGAGGCTGACAACGCTCCATGTTTTGAATAATAATATTAGTACATTAAGCTGCTCCCAGTTTCACATTTTAAATCTGAAAAGGCTGGAGACGCGTTCATTCAGCTGCAAGACTCCAGCTTCTTCTGCGAAGCTAAAACACGATAAACTGAGACGTCCAAGTCAAGTTTCACTTCTGACCCCAAAGGAAGAAAACGATGCATTCAGGACGCCAAGAGACCATCACTTCATAATCCATTATTCTGATGATTAATCACAATAGATAAGATACGCATGAAAACTTCAATCATGATAAAAATTTGATTTTTTTATCTTGATAAATTTAAATTAATGTTGAAAAACAAAAACAAAATAAAACTGATCTTGTCAGAAAAACTAGTTTTATTTTCTCTGTTTTTTCCACAAGATCAATAAACATTTGAAGGACATGATTAAATGTAGTTATTGTGATATAAATCATACTTTTATTTCAATAAGCAGCTCCAATTGCAAACTTCAACAGCAGTATTTTTATGATTGCTGTGTCCTGTGGTCACATCCATACAGATACTAAAAAAAGAAACAATAAAAAGGTTTACACCACAATTATTTTATCTTTTTCATAATACTGCCACAAAATATCGTAATAAAGCTTTGAGTCTATATCGCCACCGAGAAGTTGAGGATTAATCCGATTAATCGATCAGTTTCTCGATATATCGCTGCAAAAACTTCAATATCAAAAATATCCTAAAAGAACTTCCAGGAAGTTCTTACTCTCGACTTCACTGAAGGGTGTTTGATCATTTACAACTTTCTGGGTTAACCTTAAAGGAAAGAGGATATAGAGATCCTACAAAGATCCTACAGAGATCCTACAGAGATCCTACAGAGATCATAACAGAGATCCTACAGAGATCCAACAGAGATCATAACAGAGATCCTACAGAGATCCAACAGAGATCCAACAGAGATCCTACAGAGATCCTACAGAGATCCTACAGAGATCCTACAGAGATCCAACAGAGATCCTACAGAGAACCTACAGAGATCCTACAGAGATCCTACAAAGATCCTACAAAGATCCTACAAAGATCCTGTAAAGATCCTACAGAGATCCTAACAGAGATCCTACAAAGATCCTACAAAGATCCTATCGAGATCCTGTAAAGATCCTACAGAGATCCTAACAGAGATCCTACTAAGATCCTACAAAGATCCTACAGAGATCCAACAGAGATCCTACAGAGATCCAACAGAGATCCTACAGAGAACCTACAGAGATCCTACAAAGATCCTGTAAAGATCCTACAGAGATCCTACAGAGATCCTACAAAGATCCTACAGAGATCCTACAAAGATCCTACAGAGATCCTACAGAGATCCTGTAAAGATCCTACAGAGATCCTACAAAGATCCTACAGAGATCTTGTAAAGATCCTACAGAGATCCAACAGAGATCCTACAGAGAACCTACAGAGATCCTACAGAGATCCTACAAAGATCCTACAAAGATCCTAACAGAGATCCTACAGAGATCCTACAAAGATCCTACAGAGATCCTACAAAGATCCTACAGAGATCCTGTAAAGATCCTACAGAGATCCTACAAAGATCCTACAGAGATCCTGTAAAGATCCTACAGAGATCCACTGCAGATTTAAACCGAATGAGGAAATCAGAAGAGCCGAATCCACGTGTGAGTAATCCGGCAGATTTCCCGAACCATCACTCAGCAGCTCCTCTCTGATACCTGCTGCTCGGATTCATGGAAAGGTTGAACCGAACCGAGCCGGAACCGAACCGCCGGATCGGAGTGCACTTCATTCAGTGAGGTCAGTAGCCTACCTGTCATCGTAGCAGAAATCGGCTCCCAGCGTGTTGACGTACAGGACCAGAGCCGCGCCGCCGCACAGCAGTTCAGCGAACATCTCTGCTCCACGCAGAGTCCACGATCATCAACAAGCAGAAGACAACAGCAGAAATGGAAACAAAGCAAAATGACTGATCCCGTCACTGTTCAGTCCCCGTCTTTGTCAGGATGTCTCTCCGAAAATAAGTCCATTTTGTCCCCCCCACCCGAACCCGAACCCGAACCCTTCATCCTCCATGAAGTGCATAAAGTGGATAATCCGGAGCTGGTTTCTGTCTAACCCATGGTGGGAGATCTACACCCTGCTGGGAGTTGGGCAGAAAATAAAACAGCGTTCAGTGGATCTGTGACAACATGCTGCACGCCTCCCCGACACACACTCTCACACATACACACACACACAGAGAGAGAGAGAGAGAGAGAGAGAGAGAGAGAGAGAGAGAGAGAGAGAGAGAGAGAGAGAGAGAGAGAGAGAGAGAGAGAGAGAGAGAGGATCAGCCTCTGATGCTCTGAGCAACGGCCGCCGCTGCTGGAGAAACGTCGTGATTTACACTGAGGTCAAGCTGCTGGTCATAAAGTTGCTGTTTCCGTTTTCATTTTCAAAATAAAGTCAAACTAACATGTTAAACATCACGTGGGCCAAAATCATCAAAAACAACTAAGGCTGTTTTCAAACAGTCAGATGTGCTGGATGCGTTGGAGTCCAGGTCGGCCTGCAGGGGGCGGCAGAGAGCATGCAGAGAGCTGTGGGTGGTGGTGTGTTTGAAGCCAGACTCCAGCAGCGGAACATGTTTCACCCGCCAAAACCGGAAGAAAGATCTTTAAAGCAGTGGTCCCCAACCCCCGGGCCGCGGTCCGGTACCGGTCCGCAGACTAATTGGTACCGGGCCGCGGTGATAGAAAGGTTGGGGACTCCTGCTTTAAAGCGTTAGTCTGCCTCTGCCAGCGGAGCCGGACGGACCAGCAAACGAACCGACACCAGCAAACGAACCGACACCAGCAAACGAACCGACACCAGCAAACGAACCGATACCAGCAAACGAACGACACCAGCAAACGAACCGACACCAGCAAACGAACCGATACCAGCAAACGAACCGACACCAGCAAACGAACCGATACCAGCAAACGAACCGATACCAGCAAACGAACCGATACCAGCAAACGAACCGACACCAGCAAACGAACCGATACCAGCCGGTTCTGGAGGGAACGTAACACCGAACTATTGCTTCACAAAATGTAAACAAGGTTAGAGAGACAACAGATTTCAACCATTGTTAGTTTAACATTTTGTATTTGGTAATAAACCACGAGCCATTTCTTACGCTAGCGCTAGACTTTCATGTTTGTATTTACCCAGAATGCCTTGTGTGGTGAAGCGGTTCACTTCCTGCTTAAGGACCAATCCAGAGTTCTCTTCAACCAAACAGACTGAGGTTTCAGGAGGACTAGAGTCCAACCTTTTTGGTCCGCATCAGAGTTTGATTATACATTCAGATCCCTAAATGAACCGACTGTCGACTGAAACAAACTGGATTAAACAGAGCTGCTGTGAATGCACCACAAAACAAACAAACAAACAAACAAAACCATGCTCAAGAATCTAAGCATGGAATCATTTTCATGATGACACATGTTTGTTTGTTTGTTTGTTTGTTTGTTTGTTGTTTGTTTGTGTGAGTGAATCTCAGCAACAGGATTTGGGTCAGTCTCTTCTTACAAATCCTTGCTGTATTAATCCAGATTCAATAAAGTCATTAAAATTGGATTTAGTTTCTCTAAAAGCTCAAGGGGAAATAATTTAATAAATGGTTCTTTGCTATTATAGAGAAAACAAAAAACTTGCTTATTGAAAGATAATATTTTGCACTATTTTCTATTATTGAAATTTTAATTTGCCAGTAATAATTTTGATCTTATAATATAAAAAAATCCATCCGCACCAGGCAGTTTTTCTGTCGATCAACAACATGCGATTAACTAAAATCAATACAGTTCACTGTTTCAGTGAATATATATTTATATTTCCTGCATGATGCTTTGCTTAAAACTTTATTAGAAATTAGAAATAAACATAAAATACCAGGAGGCTTCATGAGATAAAAAAAAGAAAAAGAAAAGTTAAAGTCTTGCTTCAGTTTTGCTCCTTTTTCTTCTTTTATTTTGGTAGTCACCTACTCAACTTCCGTTCCTCCGCCTGGTATTTCTGCCGTTTTGACGCATTTGTGACCTGAACTCGTGTGGCCAGGACATCTCCCGCGCATGCGCAGACCTCCTGTCACCAAGCGATGGCGGGTTTAATCCGGACTCTAATCCTGATGGAGTCACTGAGCTGCAGGTTGACTTCACGTCATCACGTCGTATGGGGTTTCCATGACAACCGCTGGACGCTTTCACGTGTTGCCGTCATTTTCCAATAAACGAGGCAATAAAGTAATGATTGCAGTTTGTCCTGCAGTTTAAACATGCAGGGAAATTCAGACTCTAAATCCAGTTCAGACAAATGACAAGTAGAATCTTCATATGAAGTTATTAAAAATATGCAACTAAAACAAAGATGTTTTATTTAGAAGTAATTCTTTCATTAAACTGTTAATATAAGTATATTGTTGTTTGAGGTCATTTATGGATTTTGAAGGGATTTATCGCCAATTCAACCTGATTCAAATATGGAAATTATAAATCAACCCAGGAATGTAAATTATAGGTAGATGCACCCATTCGCTCCATGGTGGGATGATTGATCACTTTTAATCAATGAGTTAATATCAGAGGGAGATCATTTGATCCAAGAAAGTTCAGCTCTCTGCACAGTCTGGATTAGATTTAAATGATTCATTTAATACATTTTCAAGTATCTAAACATAACGACATCCTGGCCAGAGAAAGAACTGAAACACAGAAAACAGATATATGAGAAATTAAGACTTTAGGATGTGTATTCACAAACATACCAAATATGAACAAGATCATCTCAGATGTTTGTGGCTCCTGCTTGATGTGACACAAGTTAAACTTTAACTGTATTTATTCATACATGGAAGAAGCTCTGAGGAAAAATATGATGTTGGTGAATCTGTATTTTATCGGCAGGTTCCATGAACTCAGTTGTAGAAGAACAGTTCTTCCTTTATGCTCTCCTGTTTTATAATTAAACCTCAATTCTTTACTAGCAAGATCAGCACACTGTCCCAATTTGCAATAAACAAAATTGCAAAGCAAAACCAGCTTTTCGCACTGCGACAGATTGGTGACCTGTCCAGGGTCCAGGGTGACCCCACCTCTCCCAGCTTTTAGAATGAAAATCAAAAGAAGTGTGTGGCTGTTCTCATGCCGACCACTAGAGGGCCCACCGTGCATAATGGTTTTACTGATTGGGAAGAATGTACATCTAGTTTGGCAATGATTCAATCCCTATCATACAATTAATGAATGTGTTTTTAAGTTTATGCAAAAAGCAATATATTCTTTTACAAAATGACTAAACTTTCATAAGTTTAGTCATTTCAATCCAAAAAGGGGAAACTGACTGACCAGATTCTAAAGTTTGAAATCTGGATAAAAAGTTTATTTTCTAAAATATAAAGAATAAAAAAACAGAAAGTTTTTTTTATTGTTATTGTTTTGTGAATCAGATCATCTATTGCTCAATAAGTTGACAATTAAAATGCTGAATTGTATTTGGAGCTACTTCCTGTCTAAATCTTTGCTCTGTCGGGACTCGGCCTCCTTTAATCAGGGAAAACATGCAGGCTGCTTTGTGAACGTGCAGCTCCCAAATATTCATCTTGATATGGCTTACTCAGCAATAAACTGTCAGCACTAAATTGCTTTTCTGCTCAGAGCTAATGGTGCAGCTGGAGGGAACGTGAAGCTGTCGGACAGATTAAGTGCAGCAACAGAGGAGAGTGTCTATCAAGCATGGAGAGGCGGCGGTTTCATTCACGCAACCCTTTGTTCGTTTTTAATGACAGAGTTTCGGGTCTGATCATGTTGGCAGGGCCATTAGTTCTTGGTTTTTATAGATTTTTTTTGTGGAAAATCATCTTGTAGTTCAAATTGATATTTGGAGTTAGAAACTGTCTGATTTTTTTCATATCAGAACAAATCTTGACTTTTAACTGCAGTCCTACATCTGCCAGCCAGATCTCAGCAGAGCTGACACAAAAGCATTTTCAATTTAAAAAGCAATTAGCCTCCGATCAGAAATGAACCTTCCACAGCAGACCTCCATTATATTATTGATTATCTAACCCAACACCTTTTCCTCCTCTTTCTTTTGATGTCACCACAACAATCTGGAGCCTCCAAGGCAGGGTCTGAATTTCAATAATCCTGATATCATCATCATCATCATCATCATCATCATCATCATCATCATCATCATCATCATCATCATCATCATCATCATCATCATCATCATCAGTGCAGAGTTGCCTTCAAAATAAGATAAAAAAACTCATCTGATCCGAGGTTGATTCTTGTCTTTGCTGGTGAATTTTAAGCAAGTTACATGAAGTCAGACATAAAATTTTGATGGAAAGGTCAAAGAGACACGCCGCAGCTTCAGGGGTTATAATAAATGTGAGTAGAAGGACAGAGAATCAGAAGAGAACAGGAATAAAGTAAAAATTATACACTTGATATCTGTGTGCAATCTGTCATTTAAATATCTGCTTTAATCATTACCTTTATCAAAGGAGCAAACCTCAAACAATTAATCGATTTAATCATGATTAATCAATTACTGAAATAATCGTCGACTAGTTTAGAGATTGATTAATCATTTACTGGAGTATATAGACTCAAAAAGACCAGTTGCTTAAAGAACAACACGCTGAGCTGTAATTAAACCAATCTGTACAAAAAATAAATACATTTTGCATTCATGATGAAAAATAACCCTTGTTTGTGTGTAAATACATTTTACTAAGAAGTCCTGGCAGTTTTAGCTTCACTTGGTTCAAATTCTGTAAAAAAAAAAAAAAAAAAAAAAACAAGAAAACCCTCCTATAATCACCTTTTTCCATTCAGTTATTGATTAAAAAATAATCCAGATCATCTGTACTGTATTGTTATATCCAGCCCAT